TGTTGAAAACTTTACCATTAAAAGTTGGAGCCGACTGTTTGCAAAATGGTGTGGTGCTGCATTTAGGTGTGAGACGGGTTCCTTTTGGAAAATAGAGTTGTCACTTCAAAATTTAAGATGGCAACCACCATATATATTTGCAAAACGGCCACCCCAATCATTTGAGGAAACTATGCTTTCCAGTTTTTATATTGCTTAAAAGTGTTGCTCCCTCAAGTGCTTGTCGTGTCCGGTGCGCTGTCTGAAGACAAATCAGCTGGGGCCAAAGCCGCCATTGGCCACCCTCTGTCTCCGCCATTGTACTTTGTGGTGGATAAAATTGCTCCATTGACCCTGCACAACCTGGGACAAGGAAAACAAACTGGGTCTGTTCTTATACACAGTTTAACTCTACTCACGTGAATATTTTGCACTAAAAACATTAAGGTTTACATACATTCCTTGTTAATTTTCAGTCCAGATAAACACTCATCTCGAAAACTATTCGCTATTCAAATCCTTCAGCAATGGGGATTGTTACCCCCCCCCCCCCCACACACACACACACACACACACCACTCCACCAGAGGAAGGAGGGCATTAACAATTGGGGGCTCGTCCGGGATATGAACCCGGGACCTCTCACAAAATAAAAGCTTATTCTTTCCCTTTTACAAAGACTCCATCACTTTATTGTGGTTGTCATGTTTATGCCCCGCTTTCTCAACAAAAAAAAAGGGGGGGGGAGTAACAGGGAATGTGGTGTACCACTTGTTGAACCTGATGTGGCGCAGGCCTGAAATGTTGCTGATATGACGAGTTGCTGAGTTGCTCAGGACAGCCGTCTATCCGCAGCATTTTTCCCGTGTTGCGATCATAGGTGTCGGTGACGGGAGTTAAAGAAAGAGAAGAAAAAAAGGAAGCCTTTTATGTTTTTGAGTCACGTTGACTGATGGTCAGAGGTTTTATATAATGCGTGGCACGTACTGCTGACACCACATTAACTGAAACAAATCGAGGACAAAGTCTGGAAATTTTGAGCCCGAACTCCGCAGCAAAATGTGGTGTGTCATTCAAGCCGAGCCTCCCTGCAGATCAGCAACAGTCAGCATGCTTTCTCTCCACATCTGCAGCTCTACCTTTCGTGGTTTCCTGTGTTTGGGCTTCTTCTTCTGTTGTTGTTGTTTGCATCTCGGCTGAATGTGTTAAAGTGAGTCGGTGGTGATAAATAGAACTGTGGACTGCGGTTTTTCACAGAAACGGCAGACCAAAAGCTCTTTTTTTTTTTTTTTTTTTTAAATGAATAAAATAAAACCCATTGCCACATTATGTTCAGTTTAACCCAATTAAGTTCACTTGATCAGAGCTTTTGTTAAATAAAAGCTTTTAGTATAAAAGTTGTTAAGACTAAGAACAGGGGTGTCCAATCCTGGGCCTCGAGGGGCACCATCCTGCATGTTTCAGAGGTTTCTCTGCTCCAACACACCTGATTTGAATCAATGGGTGACTAACGGGCTTCTGCTGAACTTGAAGAGGTGATTGAACCATTGAATAAGGTGTGTTGGAGCAGATCAATGAGTAAAACATGCAGGATTTGACTCCTGCCCTTAGGACATCATTTTAATCTCAACATAGATCTTTCTCATCCGCCTGCCGCAGTCCTCGCCTTCTTGTCTCGTTTTCCTCGAACCTCGCTCTTCAGGTTTCCTGCAGCGTTCCTTCCTGCATCGTCTGGTGACTACAGTAGCTGCGGTGAAGTTTAGAATTGAGGAAAGAGGAGATCCGTCTGGAATCCATTATCCGAAGCGTCTTTGTTTCACTGTGGGAACCTTATTGATCGTCCTCCTTTATAGTTTTTCCCTCTCGTTTCCTTCTGTTGGCTCAGACATCCCATCATACTCGGATTTTCTTCCCCTCCTGCTTTGCTTCTTTCCTTTGCGATAATTGTCGATTTGATGTTGTTGTTTTGCATGAAACTGAATCCTAAAACTCTTTATAAAACTGAATTGTTTAATCAATTGATGTTGAAGTTTTTATTCCCTGTTTAAATTTAATTGAAAACAAGATAAAGCCTTTTTAAATTAACTGACGAACATTAGTAAGAAGTCGAACTTTATTATTTATCTCTTAGTTCCCCCCCCTTCCCAGAATTCACGATTTTTATTTTAGTATAAAATAAGAGTTTTCATCACAGCCTTTTTTTTGTGTGACGGTGCTTTAAACTTTAAACTTATCAAACACCCGGGGCAGTCATCAGAGTGTTGGTTCTCGTTCTGATTTTGTTTAATATTTTATTTTTATTCTGGATATGCAAGAAGGACTGATTAGTGTGCCAAAAATTGATTTGCTGATCCATATTTACAAGTGGAACGCCCCAGTTTTTTAATTGACCTTTATGCCTCCTATAATACACACTATTATTGAACTTATCAAGACTAATAACGCTGTAATTACTGTGAGATTCACACCAAATGCATTTTTTTTCTTGGAAGCCGAAGATAAAAAGCAGCTTTTTGAAAAGAAAATATGAAAACTTATCATTGATTCGTCTTTCTTTCTCCGGCTTATTGTTTCCGTTGGTGGAAACTACAGTACTTGGTTGTGGTTTACAAAACTTGAATAAGAGGTGGATCAAGGTCAGAGGAAGAACCTTTGAATTGTTGCAGACGACTTTCTAGTTTCGCTTCCACGTTTTTAAGTGGTCTTCCTTGAGGAAAACGCTTGCACGGCTTTGTTTTAGATGCTGTTACTTCTGTCACTCAACACAAAACAGATGAACCAGAGAAAAAGGTGAAGAATGTTCAGTCAGCTGTAATGAATTGACGAGATTTAGATCGTCAAAAGTTTTCTTCAAAACCGGTTTTCCGGAAGAATTTCTTTGCTACAAAGATGAAGTTGGAAAGGCTTTTATGGTAAAAACAACAGGACTTTAGTTAGCTTCTTGTAGAGGTTTTAATAAATACAGTAGTCCCTCGCTACTTCGCGGTTCGTTTATCTCGGACTCGCTCTATCGCAGTTTTTCAAAATAAGATTGGACATGACACACAATTGGCTGATTGATGGATGAGTCGCACGATCGGCATGGAGTTTTTTTTTTTTTAAATAAATTATTTTAAATTATTTAGCACCTGCTGCATATTTGAGCAGCCATACTGCAGCATAAGCTTCCTGCTGCAGCTGATCAGCTGTTCACCACGCAGAGTGGAGAAGTGGGCGTGGCCAAGAGCGCTTGAAGGTGGTAAAGAGCAGAGAAAGCAGGGAGCAGAAAGCATGACATTCTGTGCTCTTTTAGAGCATTTAGACTTAAGAAACGTTTAGAATATTGCAAGACTCTGGGAAGGGTTTAAAATGCATTATAAATAAATATAAATAAAATAAACTACTACTTACTTGTACTACTATTCCTACTTCGCGGTTTTTCACTTTTCACATGTCTTCAGGGTACGGATCCCCCGCGATAAACAAGGGACTACTGTATACCAGGGCAAAATAAAACAAATACAAAACATAGCAGTGTTTCCCCTACCATTATACAAGCAGGGTGCCCCGCCCTGTCAGAACCAAGCACCCCACCTACTGAACCGAACTGCGCACACCCCGAAGGCACTGACGTATCACAAAGCTAGCGGTATGCAATACAGGCGCGCTAGCTAAAAAGCAAAAGGCAGCGCTTATGCTGCCTCTTCCCTCATGCTGAACACCCCCAACCCCCCTGCTCGAAAACGGTACAAACAGCACGCAGCTCAGACCTCCCGCCAACAAAAATCATGGACGAGATGAATGCCCTGCCGAGGCAAGTTGTCTAGGGGAAACACTGCATAGAAAGGGTGAAGCATCCACCCTGCCTCCACCCTCATTTGCCCCACTCTGGGCCCTTGAGCAAGGCCCTTACCCACCATCTGCTCCCCCAAACACACTAGATATCAGCTCTCTGCTCCACACAGAGGGCTGTGGTAGCTCGGTGGTCTGTGGTTGCGTCAGTTTGGGCATCCAACATAAAATAAAAAACTAATTCCAAGTCTTCTTGGACGAGCGGCCATCTGCATTGACCGGCTGGGTTTGAGAGGACAGGAAGGAGAAACAAAAACAGAATGGCAGGTCCAGGTGAACTTTCTATAGGAGGAAAGACAAAAAACCCTGTTAAGGATAGAAATAATTACAAATACAAATGCGTAGAGTAGAGCTAGTAAAGACAGCAGCAGTGTGAAGAAATGTGGTCAATTTGTCTTCCAGCAATCTAAACCTATAACGGCATAACTAAGGGATAGCTCGGGAAACCCAAGCTGAGCCTATAGGATTTATCAAAATGGGAAGACTTGAGCCTAATCTTAAAAGTAGTGAAGGTGTCAAACCTCATGGACAGAAACTGGAAGTTGGTTCCACAAGAGAGGAGCCTGATAACTGAAAGCGCTGCCTCTTATTCTACTTTTGGAGACTCTAGGAACCACAAGTAAACCTGCAGTCTCAGAGCAAAGTGTTCTGTTAGGAAAGTATGGAACAATAAGATCTGTAATATAGGATGGAGCTAGGTTGTTGAGAGCTTTGTATGTTAGAAGTAGGATATACCGTAAGAATTTGTCGGCTAACGTTCAGTGGCATCTAGTTTCTTGAGTATTTATTCATGTTTAAACCAAAAGCACAGAATGGTCGAGTCAAACGCTTTAAATTAACGTAGGCTGTGTACACAACCCGATAACAAAAGGAACGTGTAATTATCCTCCGAACACAGTTGAAGCTCATCAGATCACGACCACACCACTTGTTGCGATCTGTCAGTTCTGTGAGTTAATCTGAAAGTTTTTTTTTTGTTTTTTTTTTTTTTTTGCACCATTTTGGTTAAAGTTCAGTTTGACCCACTTGTTTGTTTTGGAAAGTACAAACACAAACTGGTCTCCGTTGCAGCGCGGTGCCACAGCGTTCTGTCAGAGTGGGCGTTCGTGTGTTTGAAGTGCGAGGCTTATTCCAGTTTGTTTGCGGTAAGCGGCCCACTTACGTTTTCGTCTCGCTCTGTGTCTTTGCAGGAAGTTCGGGGAGCGCCCTCAGCCACAGCGCCTAACGAGGTAAGTGTGCTCTGAATTCATCGTTTTAATCACAGCGGTGTGATTGCGCTTAGAAAATGACTTCTTTTTTGTTTCTCCACAAATTTTTGAATTTCATCGTAATTTGCATTAATTCTACTTGTATGTCAGCAAAACTATATACTTCTTATAAGTATGTATTTATTTAATTGGTCATACAATAATATGGTGACTTCTTCCTGTTCTGTCCAAAGGCTGGGAAGCAAATGAAGTTATAAATGTAATTTTAAACACCGCAGAGTGAGTGTTGTTGCCGACACAGTTACACGCTGAACCGATTGTCCTCATATTACTTTTGCATTTGGCCTCTTTCTATCCATCGTTCCCAGTTGTATTACATTGTTCTTGTTTGGCTGTTATTGATTAGCAATAAGATCTCCTGCTCATTGATTTGTGTTTTAATAAGTTTGTGTTGAAACGAGATCTGTCTGCTGTTTATGAAGTACCGAGGCGTAGAAGCCGTAATTCATCTTATCCAGACTTTGAGTCCAAAAGTGTTTCTTTTTTTGTTTTTGTTCCAAGTTACTTTAGGGAGGCACCAGTTAGCCATTCGGTGGCCAGAATAAGATGATTTTCTGTCAGCAGGAAAAAAATTCTCGTCCATGAACGCATCATAAATATAAAGTTTGTTCTAGGTGAAAGGTTTTGCTAAGTGGAAAACACTCAAAATGAGGTCTTTGTAATATATGTAAGATTTAATTTTTAATTTAACCTTTATTTATACAGGTGGTCTCATTGAGCCACTTTTAGTCATTTTTAGGAGATCTGTTTGGGAGCAGATGCTGGGGGTTAAAGGCCTTGCTCAAGGGCCCAGAGTGGGGCAAATGAGGGTGGAGGCATGTGTGGGTGTTTCACCTTTTCCACCTACATTTTGATGTTGTCAGCTCAGGGAGTTGAACCGGTGACCTTCCGATCCCAGGCCCACCTTCTCTAACCTCTGCGCCACTACTCCCTGAAAAAGTGGTTGGTGAAAAATACTATGGGTGTATGTCGGCTGCTTTCGTTTTCCTATAAAGGTTTGGTCTTGTCCTCACAAAAAGGTAGTTTAAAAAAAATTGTTGTTTCGAGAACTATCCTTGAGCACTGTTTTTATAAAAGTCTTACCGGTATTTCACACGGAAACACCAAAAACGGCACAAAACACTGTAGTGACCATGGCACACTTCATTCTCGCGCTGTAACACTGCCACAAAATTATACCTAAAATATAAAACGAGCTTGTGATTAAAAAGTTACCGACTGAGTGTGACAACACAAGAAGAGGTCAAAGGTTAGGTTAGATGTTGGACTATGACATCATCAGTATCTAAAAGTTGCGTTTTGTCTGTCTACATGAAAACACAAGGGTGGTATTTCTAGACTTTTTTCCCTCTAAAACTACTGTTTCATTTAAATTCAGAAAACTTTATTTATCCCCAGCGAGGAAATTTAAATTTGGGGTTCCCAAAATTCTGTGTGAATGCAAGGCAGAAATTTATTTTCTCAAGTAGATTTAAAAACATTTTCAGGTCTTGACTGCAACTTAAACTGCAGACATGTTCACTTGGTGCACTTTGTTTTGTGTTGTGCAAATTAACAGCACTGTATTTTGATCTGTAAAACAATACTGCAATTCTTTTCCTATTGTTTTTTTTTTTTTTTTTTTACTATATATTTGTACAAATAATTCTGTCCAACATTCTTGAGGATACCGTTTATAATTTTTGTAGATCTTTAGTGACACAGGTGAAGAATTTGTAACTTTGTGCTGTTTGGGTGAGAAGGTGCCGTGCAGTGAGCGCTCAGACTCAAATGCTGTGTGAGCTGAGCTGTCAGCTGGACGTTATTTCTGAGAATCTCAGGCCACTTGCGGCCCATGAAACTCTCTGGCGGGATAGAATCGACCTTGGAGAAGCTTCAAGCCCGGCTGTGTTGACCACAAAAATTGGGCTGTTTGAAGTTGCCATTGAGACGTACTAGTAGAACTATAAGGCAGACAGAAAATCAAGCAGAGTTGCCTTGACTCAAAATAATTATCTGAATCTGGCTCCGTGTCGGCCTTGATTTGGCCAACTATCCCAAACTCTTGGACGTTATATGAACAAGAAGCTCTGCTCCTCCCTCCCCTATCTGCTCCCTTCCCGAGGACATCTGTGGACCTGTGTCAGAGCTGGTCCACAGCCGGCTGATAGACACTGTACCATCTCTTATCAGGACTATCTGGCGTGTCCACGGACAAACTCACCACCTTTGTCGGCTTTCCTCATGCATATGTATTATAATGTCATCAAAATGTTGCTATTTCTGAGCTGAGTTTGTTTTTTTTGCAGCTTCCATCTAGGAAGAGATGGGGTTTTTTTAACACCTCCTCTTCCCTCGTGTTTCCCTTTTCCTTATTTAAATGAAAAGGGCAGCGCCTTCCATGAGGCCGAAGCATCAGACACCTCCGTCTGTTTGTTTGTGTTTTACTTGGACAGGCTGTACTGAAATGTAATTTCGTTGCGCTTCGGTGCTATGACAATAAAGCTGATTCTGATTCTTAAGTAGTAGTTGTTGTTTTTTTTACTGTAAACGAATGATACTGAATCCAAATATATCCAAATAAAATAAAAATATGTAAATAGTTTTTAGCAATTAAATGCATTTGAAACTGTATAGAGATTTGAGATAATTCAGAAGTTCGAAGTTGTTTGGTGACTTTTGGGTGAACCAAAATGTTGATGGATGGATTCCATTTTTTGAAGGGGCTGTTGGACAATGGCTCGCTTATTGTTGTCCTTGTTTTTAGGCATATTTGTGTGTGTGTGTGTGTTTGTGCCCTGCTTTTGCATGTGGAGCTTTGTGAGTAAATTGTTGGGTTACATATCGCCTGGAACAGCCAAGCACAGTTTTGGAAAATGGGGCCCCGGTACCTTTTGATGTGTCCCCTCGTCTTTATTCATGTGCTGCCAGTTCACTGGCTCACAGCTGGACCCTGGGTTCATGCGATGGTTTTTGATGGCCAAAAATATCACGGGGCACCGAACTCCTCGTCGCTGAAAGGCGCAAAGCACATGCAGATTAAGCATCCATGCGTGCCTGTTTCTGAAAGTTTTCTTGTATCCATTTGCTGCCTCAAAGTGCAGCATCCAGTCCAACCTTTAGGCCAGCTGAAGTTACTGCAGGGTAAAGAACAGTTAGCACTGAGTGACGCTGCACGTAAGGTTTGATACAGTCTGGTTACAAGGCTCCAAGGTGGTTGTAAACGTCCACTTTAGGGTTGTCGACCTGTTTTCAGTGGGTTGTAGGCCTTTGCCTGAACAATGTTAGGAAAAAAGCAGCTCTCTTGATTTTAATGTGAGCTTTATGATTTATGCTTGAATATGTGAACAATTGTAAAAAGATGGTTTGCTATACAGGTGATGGCCATAAAATTAGCATTTCATGAAAAAGTTTATTTCAGTAATTCCATTCAAAAAGTGAAACTTGTATATTATATTCATTCATTACACACAGACTGATATATTTCAAATGTTCATTTCTTTTAATGTTGATTATTATAACTGACAACTAATGAAAACCCCAAATTCAGTATCTCAGAAAATAAGAATATTAGGACCAATTAAAAAAAAAAAAAAAAAAAAGGATTTTTAGAAATCCAACATTTTTCAGTCAGGTCATCTGGACAGTTCCTTTTTTTGTGCTGAAATGTTTCGCCTTCGATCCAGAAGGCTTCATCAGTCAAGGAAACGCACAACAAAACTGATTCTTCCCCCAACAGCTTACTCCAAAGTGGAACAAACCAGTTCTGCTTGTGATTAGATGGTTACTTTGGTACGCCCCCTCCTCCATTGCCGGCCCTCTTCCTTGTTGACAGTCGTGTCAAACTGGTTGAAAACAACAAAGTCCATGCTCAATAATCCAGGTATAAAATCCAACATTTTTCAGTCGGGTCATCTGGACAGTTTCTTTTTTTGTGCACTTTGGAGTAAGCTGTTGGGGGAAGAATCAGTTTTGTGCTGTGTTTCCTTTACTGATGAAGCCTTCCGGATCGAAGGCGAAACGTTTCAGCACAAAAAAAGAAACTGTCCAGACGACCTGACTGAAAAATGTTGGATTTTATACCTGGAATATTGAGCATGAACTTTGTTGATTTTTAGAAATGTTGGCTAACTTAAAATATGAACATGAAAAGTATGAGCATGTACAGCATCAATACTTAGTTGTTGCTCTTTTTGCCTGGATTACTGCAGCTGTGCGGCGTGGCATGGAGTCGATCAGTCTGTGGCACTGCTCAGGTGTTATGAGAGTTCAGGTTGCTCTGATAGTGGCCTTCAGCTCTTCTGAATTGTTGGATCTGGCGTATCACATCTTCCTCTCCATGATACCCCATAGATTTTCTATGGGGTTAAGGTCAGGCGAGTTTGCTGGTCAATTAAGAACAGGGATACCATGGTCCTTAAACCAGGTACTGGTAGCTTTGGCACTGTGTGCAGGTGCCAAGCCCTGTTGGAAAAAAATCTGCATCTCCATAAAGTTGGTCAGCAGCAGGAAGCATGAAGTGCTCTAAAACTTCCTGGTAGACGGCTGCGTTGACCTTAGACCTCAGAAAACACAGTGGACCAATACCAGCAGATGACATGGCACCCAAACCATCACTGACAGTGGAAACTTGACACTGGACCTCAAGCGACGTGGATTCTGTGCCTCCTCTCTTCCTCCAGACTCTGGGACCTTGATTTCCAAAGGAAATGCGAAATTTACTTTCATCAGAGAACATAACTTTGGACCACAAAGTTTGTTTTCTCAGTCATCCAGGTATATAACAACAAAAAAG